ATGAATACCCCTATTGCATTTTCCTTAAGCTCGCCGATGACTGCAAATATGGATTTTTATCAAAAGTTTTTATTGATTGTGCCATTGTGTGTCGTAGCATCGTTGGAGCGCGGCGGAGTGAAGCTCTCGATCGCTAACTAAGTATGCTATGCTAATCGTGCATACATATATGGAAGTATTTACGTACAATAGCAAGGCAAACTGGGTCTTCTTTGCATTCGGTTGTGGGTGCACGCCAACTTGTTTAAATATGCTTTCTATATATGTCAATAATGATTTGCTGCTGGCAGATTAATTGTGCGTTACGAGAACAAGTACATCTTTCATAATAGCTGACTGACTGGTGAATTATGTATGTAGTATTTCAAGTAGTTATGCTTAAGCGGTGTTCGCATGAGGTGATTTTCCAGGCAATTTTCAGAGGCAATTAGTTGAATCAAAAGTTTGCTACCCCAACTTCATTGGAAGCGATTAGTTGAAAGGCCGTTCACACCAGGCGATTGTTCCTTTCAACTAAAAGTTGCCTGTAAAATCGGCTCATGTGAACACCGTATTAGTACCACACAAGGCGAACTCATACAAGGTGGTGTTGCTAGAAAGACTGATTTCTCTCGCCTCGGTACAAAAGTTTCAGAACTCTTATAAGTGAGTAAGAAAGTGAGCAGTTTCTAATTTTCTTTCCCTCTACTTTCTTAAACGAAGAATAGCTGAAATTTTGATATTTCTGTACAGAAAGCAGAAACAAAATGCATGTAAGTTTTTGATTTTTTACTACCTCTATCACCTTGCATGAATTCGCCTTGGTACCACCCGGCAGGAAAAGCTACTATTTATTTGTGAACACCAAGACTAAAGCATAGTTTCATCCAAAAGTCACCAATTTGAGACTATAGATTAGTATCTTTTGTGACTTTAGACGATTTTGGTAAGCAGTTTATCTTCCTCAAACCCGTTATTCACCACGATAAAACTGTATTAAGGGCGCGTGTGAATCGGTAACAAAGTTCTATGGGGAAAGCTGTTGAATAATATTTTACTATGGTGAGACAGTTTTGCCAATCTGCTGTGTGAAATTAAATATTTTTTGACAGCTACTACTAAATTTTCAGGTCTCGGCCTAAGTAGTTTTCAAAAATTAAAGGTTAAGACATAGATATATAATAAAATTTCATGGGAAATATTTTCGTAGAACATTTTAACCTATTAGCTCCCGCCTAGAAGAGTAATTTTAATCCTTACTTCAATAAATCCCGCAAAAAGCAAATTCGGAAGGTCGTTAGAGGACTGGTGTACTCTAGAAAATTATTCTCCGGAAAATCTTACTAGGGATCTTCTCAGGCAAAAGCTTCGTGCTACCAACGTAAAAGCCTCTACAAATTTAAAATAAAGAATCAACAAAAAAAGTACTTTTTGCAATTTTTTTTTTAATTTAAGAATAACAGTTCCTTCTTGGCACAGATTTTTTGTCTCGATGCATCGGATCGAAAAACTTGTATTCTTTACTTGCATCCCTAAAATCTGAGATTATTTTATAATTACAGATTAACAAGGGACGAATTTTATATGGCTAATCTCTTGTTCTAATTACAGATTAGGGTGTTAATCTCGAAAATGAGGATAACCTACTTATATGTGAACCTAGTATAAGACAAATGGAGTGCCACACACAGTGAGGGCAAATTTAGTCAGAAACAAGAAAGTTGTAGAGTTGATTTTTTTTGGAAATAAATATCAAATTCGATTTTTTCTAGAAAAATTCGATTTATCCGAATGTTAGCAACTCCAAGTTCGATTTCAAAAATTCGCCATTTTGGAGCTAAAAATCTCGAATATCGAATTTGCCCATCCCTACTGCAAACTATCTCAATTCGTTTAGGCTTTAGGTTCGGGTATAAAAATTATAGTTCAAGACTTTACTGCTGGGTTACTACTCTTTATAGCAGGTACTTCCACAGGTAAGTACACAGATAAGTGCACTGATATGCAAAAGCAAAAC